TAGTTTATTTATTTTGTATATAATTAAGAATAATTATTCAAATTAGAGATGAATTTTGTTATTGATTGTGTTATAAAAATTAAACTTTTAGTTTCATATTTTTCTTATTGATGGAACACTATTATTGATTATTTCATAATAGTTTGGTTTATCGTTTAAAGCTAATGGTGTTCATGCTCTACTTTCAATAGTTTTCAGATACACTTCAGGGACAACTTTAAACTAAATATCAGTGTGTGTGCCTGTTAAATTGGAATTGCTCTGTGGGCTTAATTCCTGATCTACCAACCGAAATTCAACATTAAATAAATACTTAATAATTCCTATTTGTTTTTTGCAACATTTACATTACATTCAAAATATTAATTGTCTTGATTTCATCACATATTTTGTGAATACGTATCTTTATATGGTTTATAGGAAATGAATATACTAATGAATTTTAGTTGATATATGACGATATTATATAATTAAACTGGTTGGAATTTCGTGAAAACGTTATCTACCTATAATAACTAAATGATAAACTAATTTAAGCAATTCAGGAATATGTTTGGTACATAAGATTCGATAGATTACTAGGCCGAAGTAGATTTACACTTAAAACGTATCAATTTACCGTTTTCAAATGGTAGAGGAATACTGATAATCTTAGTTGCGCATGGTTATAGTATTGTTATTAAATACTAATGAATGGAATCATTGGAAACGAGTCTTAACAGATACACACACCGACATGTACAAAATCACTGCTTACAATTATCTTATAATTAACGGCTTCTCAAACTTCTACGCGATGATAAAAACTTGTGTAATGTTAACGTTTGACAATTCCCAAGTGTGATTCTGACAACTCGCACTCAAACCTTCTGAGGTCCCACACGGCACACAGTATTTATACGCCTGGCATAGTACGTTACGTATCATTGCTGGATCATTCCTGAAATAACACGCAGACAACAGTTGTTCTTTCGACAATTCATTTTTCCTAATGCTGCTGGTATTTTCATAGGACACTAAGTACTTACTATACTTACACGGGTAAATAATATGTTCTTTTATTTTTTGTAACCGTAAGCACTTTATCATTTTCCCGATGTGACACTGAGTATCTAGCAACGATAACGAAACTTTTATCTTTGTAGTAATAATAATGATAAAATAATATTTTATGAGTTATGACTGTTATGAGACTATAATGTAAATTACGAGAGTATATAAAATCGAGTATATTTAATAGAAAAAAGAATAAACGAAAATTATACGACAAGGAGATGATAACTTACCAACTGTTTCGTCACATTTTAAGCATAATTCATCAACATAATTTCCAGACACAAGAAACCCTACTACTCTTTCACAGGGTTACCGAGGATAATATGATAATAATATTATATAATTTTTATTAACAAATATCCACATAACCCACAACACCCAAAAACGATTACCGGACGTAGGCTAACAATAATGGTATAAATGTATAAAAAGAATACCAGCCAGGGCGATTTCTTATAAATTATTATTTATGAATTTATGATACAAAGGAAATACGTTACCAATAATACACACTTGTGTGATACGTCCCTCGTGCCTTTTAAAGACGAAATGGCAGATTCATTTTTTCACTCTCTGTTGGTGTTAAAACTGCGTATGAAATAAAACGTCACTGTTGAGTTGTTTATTCGTTGACCGAACGAAGTCTGCGGCCGATGGACACGAATATCTGTTTTGTCATTGAGTTCCTAAAAAATGGCAATCGGCCTCGACGGCTCATGATGTATTAGGATGAGTAAGAGTAACCAAAAATTAAAACCGTGACATCTCATATAAAATGCATATAACTGTACATATAGTATTGGCGGAGACGTCTCTCAGTAGACGATGATTACAAAATACAGTTAATCTGCGATATAACGACACTCGGTATAATTACTACTATTTCTTATTTTTATTTAACGAACGAAACTATCGTCCCTAAATCTGGTACGGTTTTAGTTTTACACGGACTAGCTATCAAAGATAAATCTAAATCGCATCGATTAATACGGTTAGAACGCGTTACTCTTTTAGTAATCTTTATCGTCACCACTGTAGCACTAATAATAAGGAAAGCTAATTTTTAATCCCTTTTGAACTACCCATATAGCCGGTTGCCGGTAAAGGCACTAGGTTCAGCAGTATAAAATTATGATACCATAATCGTATTCAAAAATTGAAATCTGGATTTCAAACGTGACTGCAAATATATCTTTTTACATAAATAATAATCAAAACAAAAAACTGGGACTCTTAGACAAATCTGTTATAATATATTGATTACAAAACATCATTGACAAAGATTCAACGAATCTTAAGGTAATTGTAAATATTGATAACAATAAGAGATAATACGTACTATTTTGTGGTTAAATGGTAACATTGGTCAGTGGTGTGCAGGGAAACTGCAAATCACGACTTACTAAATCATTGTCCTTACAGTAGGTATATAATATATTATAAGTCATGTAACACGTGAAATGAAGAAAATAATTTGCAATGACATAATTGAACATAAAAGAAAAATTTGTAAATGTATAATTGTATTTATAAGTCAACTATTCTTAGTAAAAAAAAATATTATCTGTTATTTACATTAGGACTGAAGTTTATTGATAATATTAATATTATATTTTTTTTTGTTGTTGTTGAATTGCGGTTTCAATAAACAAACAAACCCAATTTTATCTTTGAACACAAGATTTACTTCTATAGCTCTATACACAGGACAGCGCTCTTTCTAAATGCATTAAACTTAACAATGGTTTTAAGTACATAAAATTATACTAACTTTTTGAAAATACTACCACCTAAAACATGGTAGTGATTTTTTTTATGATTTTGTTATTAATTCATAGTATATAGTTTGACCTAATTCATATTAAAGTAAATAATATGAAATGTTATTGAAATTAAAGGCATAAGAAACATAAATAAATGTATATGTTTAAACTTTTATTGTTTTCAATGATCATGTATAAAAATATTTATTATTTTTCCAATTATTATGTTTCATATAATTTTCATTATAAATAATCATTATTAAAAGGCGACGTAGTAATAAAAAAATAACTAGTTTTTAAAGTTAATAATGAAAATTGAATAAAAAGAATAATCAAATAAACAATATAAATACAAATACATAGAAATTAAATGTGAACAAAATAGATATAATAATATAGATACCTCCTACACATTACCTAGCTAAATATTTCTAATGACAGGTTTTTACAATAGAACAGCAATATTTCAATCATAAGTGTTTTTAATTTTATATCAGGTCACTATAATTGAATTAAATTTTTAATCTAATGGCAATTGTTTCAAAGTTATTAAATCAAAACTAACTGTTTTATAAACGTTTTAAAATTTGAGTCTTAAATATCTGATATAATAATGTTATAAAATAATAATTTTTCAGTTTATTAAAAATTTAATTTTAATTAAATGTATATTAAGTTAAAAATTTTATGTTTAATGATTCATGTACATTTTAATGGTATGAGTTTTTAATTAAATAAATGAAAATTGAATATTTTGCCTAAAATTGAAAATTTTCATTTTATAAATTAACTGAAAATGAGTATAAAATAATGGTTTTTTTATTCAAAGTTAAAACTACATTTTGAATGCACATGATGTAATATAATAGAATATAGTTTGAAGTATACATTTTATCCTGAATCTAATGTTAATGTTTTCAAACTTTTAACTTCAAAACTGATCATTTTATAAACATTTGAAAATTTGAGTTTTGTTTATTTACTATGTATATGATATCAGATAATCAAATGTATTATTATAATTTAATGTATGTTAAGTTAGTTAAATTATGATATATGATTCATTGTCTATGTAATGATTATCGCAGTCCTTACATCATTGCAAAAGATTAAAAAGAAATCTTACCTAGTGTGTAGTTAGTCTACAAAAAGGAAGTTTGGAAGATATAATAAATTCAATATGAAATCAAATTGTAAATAACATATGCATGTAACTCTAGATATTTAACAAAGTAACGACTTAATAATACACATTTAAGAAACTGTCATTTTAATTTTTGAATATATTTTTTTAAATTATTAAAAGATTTAATATATAAATTTAACATGAAAACGATAAAAATTGAAAAGAAACCAAAATAATGTTAGACCTAGGACCTTTTATTATAAATATTTACAAAAAAAGCATGAGGAACTTTTGTCAAAAATTAGTTTGAGTAAAATTTTTACAATAACATTAGATTTATAAAAATAATTAAAAAAATGACTTGGTACAGAGACATTGCGCCATCCATTGCTCCTCTCCTTGGTTCGACACATCTAACTTATCTCGCAAGAATATTTCATCTTTCTCTCGCCTTCGCTTCGAACACACCTTACTACCCACGCACTCATTCAAGCTTGGCCTAAATGATTCCCCCCTCTGCACTCGCCATTCTACTCTTGCCATTTGCAATATCATTCACATTCTTTTTAACTGCCCATATGTCTCCTCCCAACACAAAAGCTTTCTCTCCTTAATCAATTCTCTAAACATTCCAGCCAATCCTCAATCTATCCTTTCCTGCAATTCTCAATCCGTTATTTTATCCTTACTTAATTTATTCCATCAGGCTGGTTTCATGCCCATGCGATATATTATTGTGATTTGAATGCTGATGATTTTCATCTGGCACGTGACTGTGACGAGCTGAAAATTATTTAATTATTAGTTACTATGAGACCAAAGATAGAATAACGTAAAATAATTAAAAATAACGAGTAATTAAAATATGTACCTATCTATATATTGATATTTCATTTAAGGACATAAAGTTGGTTATTAGAATAAATTTATGAATATAAAAAAAAGTAGCCAATAATTAGGTATCTATATAATGACATACAAGCAGTTATTGTATTAAATAATTAAAGAAGTTTCAATGTATATTCGAGTTATTATCAATATTAATATACAGAATTCGATAATTAGAAGAATAATGTATGCGTGTGCATAATACTAGATGTTTATCCAGTTTAACTAACTACTACTAAGTAGTAAGTAGTATACATTAAACAAACAGCCATTATCTTTTTTTGAATATATTATTTTAAGCTATTATTTTAAACAGTAAATATATAATTTACGAGTACATGTAAAGAAATCTCAATAATGTAAGACCTAGAAGCATCTTATTAAAATTATTTGGAAAACAATGTCTTAAGAAATTAATGTCAAAAATTAATAACATTTTTACAAAAACATGAGACTTAAACATGTATCAAATTAAAATTTTTAAAGATCAAAAATATTGAGGCAGGTATTTACCAAAAAATAATTCACTTTAAATTAAAGTTTCATATTTTATAATTATATATATATGAGTCTAAACACATTAAAAAATATATTTAAAAGACATTAGTATAAATGGTACAATAACCTAACCTTGTGTCAGAGAATTACAAATATGTTGTCTAACAGATACTTAATACTTAAAACGGTGTATTCCCATTTCCTAGTTTACCGACAATCAATATTTATTCCTGTTTATGTACATAATCACACTATATGAATATTTTATACAATGTTTTTAAATAAAATTAATTATATTTCTAGTTAACGTACATGACACTAATGAATATTAAAAATAAACCATGATTAAAATAAAAATAAATACTTATAGTCTTGATAAATATTAATAAATATATTTGAGGAATAATATGCAGAAAGTATTTTGTTTTTGTCTAAAAACTAGCTAAACGTTAGAAGACATAAGTAAAAGACCGGAAAAAATTTTCTACAAGAATTATTAACTAATAAGTGACACAGCAATTGTCTGTAAAATCAACTGATTATTTAGTAATTACTATTGCCGTTATCGCTAGCCTGATTTTATGATATAGTATTATAAATTGTAGTATTGAAACAGTGAAATTTTCATTATTGAAAATAATTAATTTTAATTTGTGTCTAATGTATCTCAAAACAGTCTAAAAACTCACTTATCATCTGCAGCCCCAACATAACACAGAAACCAAGTATTATGGACAGAAGGTGCAAGAATCCCGACTGCCTGTACCTAGCGAGCACTTCGAAGAACACTACGTACATAAGGGTGCCGGCGGCCAGCCCCTGTAAAACGACAGCTACGAGTCCGGGACCTCTATCCACAGAACTTCCGTTACCAAAGCGTACGAGCACCATGCCGATGGTGATGCCCGCTGGCGTGACTATGGCAAACGTGGCCACGTACGTAACCAGCACGGCCCTCTTGGTCTCCAGCCAGGCCAGTTCTAATCCGATGCAGAAAGCAATAATGAGCTTGTGCGTTGTCACCGCAAAGAACAGGTACCACATGTGATCGACGCGTTCCTCTAACCCAATGGCCAAGCCTTCGAATAACTCGTGAAACGAAAGCGCTAGTACGGCAAACAGGCCTCTAAACGACTGTCCAGTTGTCCCTTCCACTCTCGGCGATGCTGACGACTGTTTTGTCGCGTTACTCCTTTCATGTCGTGGTTGCTGTTGCTGCTGATGGTATTCCTGTCTGGTTGGCACAGTTATTTCCCAGGATATTTGCCGATACTGTTCTACACTAGACCCGTTCAGGCTTTCCGAGACGGTGGGGGGAGTAGTTGGCGAATCAGCAGATGTCTGGAAAGCGGGTTTCGACACCAATGCAGGGTTACGCCGCCTCAGGCTCGTCGATCTGTGCAGGCTGGCATCGCTGTCCTCGTCGTACCAACCATCCAATATATTATGTACTATTTGGTCGATGATAAACATCAAGAAGAACCCGACACAGAATATAAGGTCACCTAGGTTTTCAGCGCCCTGGCCGTCGGGCAGCTTATGTGTGTGTTGCAGCTGACCGACGCTCTCCCGGACTTCTGGTTGCAGGTGCAAAAACGTGGTGAACAGCAATACGCCACCACCAAAACATAATAGCAGCGATACGACTAGTGACGAATCGGTAGCCGAGTGACCGGGGTGCGAATGGCCACTGGGTTGTGATGGTGCTTGCGCATTCAGCTGCCACGATTTTTTAGAAGTTAGTTTTATGGGTAACATCCCCAATACAAACGATCCTAGGCCGAGAACGAGCATGGAAATTATTTTGGCAATCGTGATGTGTCCGAAGAACTCCGATGTGCTGACTCCAATTCCGTTGTCCATAATTTTATTGATTGGTGTTCACGTCAATATGTAAACCTTATTTACTTCGTGCGTGATGTAAATGCTTGCTGTTTGCTATGGAATAAATTACAACGAATAAATTTAAAATAACATAACATATTATTGAATATCAATATTTACCCACCTGTATGGACCCGTACACAACTGCAAAGGACTGTTCACCGGTGCGCTGCGTTGGTTACTACTGTCAAAATCGTTCTTGCAGTGCAGCCTGCTATGTTTCTTATCCGCGTTGGTGGGACTAACAACCAGTTATTACCATTGCCACCATCAACGGCTATGTATTCAACACAGTACTGTCAACCAATAAATATTTTATAAAAAAAAATTCTTACATACCTTATATATGAGTGTATATGAAAAACCGAATGATCAAAATATACTTAGGTATACAAACCATTTAATACAACATATTAATTTTCTTTGTTCCGTCGTACCGGCCAGTCATACTTAAATATACTAATCCTTGAGTACATCAAGATCATTCTTAAGAAATTGTGCATCACTCGGCAGCACCGGATCTAGGGGTAGGGGGGAAATCCGGGGCATATGCCTTGGATACTAGTCATAAAGGGGCGCAAATTTATAATTATGTAATAAGTCAGAAAAAAAAAAATAAAATAGGTTATTGATATAAAAGGGCGCCAATTTCATATTTTACCTTGGGTTAAAAAAATTTTAGATCCGGCACTGTCACTCGGAGATTTAATAATTCTGAATATTTTTATATCATCAGCAAAAAGTAATAGGCCAGAAGTTGTAATTTTTATATCATTTTCATATATAATGAATAAAAAAGGAGCCAAGTAGGAGGTCTGAGCTAGTATCGTCTACTGATGACTCAAAAATGTCTACTTCAAAGTTATATATATTGTGTTTAATATCCGAAATAAAAGAAACTAAGGCGGCCCGCATACAGAAAGCAACTAATTTCGTGAAACTTATTTTATGAAACTTGTTTCATACTGGTCATACATCTTTTTCTTCTTCTTTTAACATGTGTAATCTCTAAGAGTTTCTCTTTCCAGTCTTTTACTCCCAAGGTTTTCAGATCTTCCACCACGTTAATCCATCTTTTTCTGGACATTTTTTATGTGGTTTCTATTTTAATATAACTCTGGCTTTTTGGGTGTCTCTTCTTCTCATTTTGTGACCTAACCATTGCATCTTTTGGTACTTGATAAAACTTTTTACTGGTACTAGATTCATCAAGAAATAGTACAGTTCTTTGTTGTATGTTTTTCGCCAGTTACCCGTAGCTTCATTAATAATAGGTCCACATACTTTCTTCTTAGTCTGTTCTCAACATTTCCCAAGTTTTTCACTGGTTTTTTTTTTGGTTGTCGTCCATACTTTGCCACCATACGTGAGAGGGGGGGTCTAATAATAGTTATATGTTTTAATTTTGCTTTTGTTTTTCTGAATAACATTTTGGATGCTAAGAATTTTGTCAGTGCGTGGAACGTTTTTTGGCCTTTATTTATTCGGATGCTTATTTCTTTTGGCTAGTTATTTTTTGTACTTAACGTTGCTCTCAATTATTTGAAATTAAAATATTAATTAGTTTCAATAATTTCGTCCGATGAAGAGGATGTGTTAATGCTATATAAATGGTTGGTTTCGAAATAAAAAAAAGAAACTTAGGTAATGGATTCATTCACTTACTCGTGATGGACAACATAGTAGTCATATAGTTTCAGAGAAATTAAATGCCAATGAGAAAAACTTCATAGTTTCTACAAAATGTCTCAACACGTGTTTTATTGTTCACTGCAATTAGTTGGACCTAGTATAATGAAGAAAAGCACAAATATTGGAGAATGGCTTTGGGACCAAAGAAAAAACACCATGTTATCATAATAACATTGAGGTAAATTAATTTATGGTTGAAGGTCTTGGTACACCATATAGGTGGGTTTAAGTCAGTAGTGTTTTTTGATGTGTGAGATTGACTGTCATGTAATGAGGTGTTAATGGTAGTTGTCCTCCAAGAACTTCGTCAATAAGATTTTTTACTTCATATCTAAATATTCTGAATTGGACTGTACTCGTTTCTTCTAAATCTAAAAGTATGATCAACAAAAAAAGCAGATTAGAAAATTTAGTTGACACATAATAAATTTTCAAAAAATATTGAAAATGAAGGAGAACATTTTAAAATAACAACATTTTTTGTCATATTGGACCAGACCAGGGCTAGGATAGTATAGGATTTAGCATTTTTTTATAGGATTTACAGGATATAACTTTTCAAGCACAAAATGTGATTTGTTCATCTACGAGTTCAAATATATAGTTTTTATTTTGCATTTTTTGTACTTTTTTGAATTTAGAGCCATTTTTTCAATTTTATGGTCATTTTTATACTTTATTGAAATCTGAGTTATATTTTCATTAATTAATTTTTAAATTTTAAATGGTCGTTATTGATCGTTATAAATTATTATAAACATACAAAGATACAATATTAAAATAAAATCATAAACATATTTTCTAAAAATATTTAATACTTCAAAATACCAATCGTTTATATGTATAATATAAATATCTTGTTAGATTAACAGAGCAATAATCGATAATTGTTGATTACATGTTATCTTCATCAATTATTATTAAATTTAACGTGCCAATATCTATTCATTATACGTATGATATTGGCCATTATAAGAAGATAAATTTTGTATACTTATAAATAATAATTATTATTATTAATTTATTAAAATAATTATATTTTTGATCATTTATGAGGTCATTTTCTTATTAGTCATTTTTAGTTTTAGGTTTTTTAGATCATTGAAATCCTAGCCCTAGACCAGACTATTAAATTATTGAATAAACGTTTTAAACAACTAGAAAAAATAATAATTTTGGTTTTCTATATAGCATTTGGTAAATTATAAACTATGCAAGAACTCAATAAAATACACACGAAAAATTAGAGGAAAATAAATAATTTTTTTTTAATAATAATAACTATTTTAATTGTATAATTAAGAATAAAAATTAAAAATTCTTGTTTGAACGTTTAAAAATAGGAACATCAATAGATACTTTTTAAAACTAGATTTTAAACAATGTTTACTTCATTAATCATTATACACTATACAGTTCACAAAAGTCACAAAAGTAAAAAAAAACAACATTAATTAACATTTATAGATCAAATATTTTTGTCCATTAGAACCAAACATATCTTGTTGATGTACCAGAGAGTATGAAGGTAGCATATGAAACACATACATACAACATAGTATGATCATAGATCAAGGATTAATTCTCTTGATACTTTGTGCCACAACTGTGGATCAAATATGTAAAATGTACCATGTTTAATTGTATTATCTATTGCAAACGTGTTGGATCCAGACACAGGAATGATTCATAATCCTTGTTCGTCATGATAACTCCAACCTCGTGATCGCCTATAGCAATAAATTATAATTGTATATAAAAAAATGTTTTATCACTAACAATTCATTAGCGGCAGATATCTGTATTGTTTCTTCATGATATGAATAAAAAAGATAAAACAATAAATCTTTTTGATATTTTGTACTATTAATGTACTATAAATAAAAAATTATAATACAATTATTGTCTTTCTAAAAATCAAATATTTATGAAAAGTTTTATCATATATTTTGATAGATAGCTTTTAAAAAATGTAATTTATATAATTTTAATATAAGTACTTATTTATAACTAAATCAGTTAAATTTTTTAATACATATTTTAAATTTAATTTATCATTTTAGGACTTACAATTATTAAAATACCTACCTATCTTAATTGATAATACTCTAGTTGTGTATTAAAGTTGACAAATTTTAAAGCATAAACCTAATATTTAGTTAGTGTGTACCTAATAACTGTTGTCATTTTACACAACATGACTTGTTATTTGTAAAAAACAAATGCTCTTATATTCATTATTTTTTATTGGCTTATAAATTATACCAAATTGTATAATATGATGACATTTACACATGTCAATTAAATAAATAACAAACCAAAAAGACAAGTCATGAATTTTTTCTTATGATTTAAAACATAATCAAATTAATTATAGTTCAATAGGTAAGTAGGATAGGTTTGAAACGTTTAATTAATATTAAATAATCAGAATGGTGCTTAAAATAGAAAAATCACAATTGTCATTTGTTATTTTAGAGGCAAACCGAATTGATTAAACATGGATTTTTTAAGTTGAGGAATTTGCCGTTTAGCAACGAACATGTAATAATATATTAGCATAGGACTAATAAAAATTAGCATAACCACTAAACTAGATTTTTGCCATGTATTATAACATAGTGCCTAGTAAAGATACCTATTCCAAAATTTAATGACCAGCTCGTTATCAATCAACAAGTAAACGTGCGTAGGCAGTTATTTGCACAGGGTTTCATTTTCATTCTGAGCGTTTAATTCAGAGTGGGAGCATCGTAACCATATAATAATAATAATAATAATAATAATTTTATCAACCATTTACCTGGTATATGACGTATGTAATATGATTTGGCAGCGATAGTCCAAGCTGGTCTCTTTGACTTGCTACGAAGTTATGGTTGTGCGAACGTCGAAAAAATGTTTAGTCGCACCGAGCTTGGGTCTATGAGCAGCCGCTCGAAATCCGATATGACGAAGTAACAGGTGATAGATTATTAATGTGATAGGAATGTGAGCAAATTCTTGGTGAATGTCACAGCAGGTGGGTGAGCCACCCTCACTACAATTGAACAATCAGTACTCTATGGGAAATACTATGGCAATGGAATCATCGTCGTTTTTGTTAAACCAAGCACATGCATGAGCAACTGACCAGGTGGTCAGGTTTGGCAACATCGCATAACAGAATTCTGTCGGTCAGTATCGAATATTAGTAACCTGAAAAATAGATTTTAAGTTATAAAACTCTTCAAACAGAGAAGGCAGCTAGCAAGAGTTCATTAAACACTTGTGCGACCATGACACATAAGTGCCCAACACAGACCCATTATAGCCATTACGCCAATGAAATCTCTTGGTCATATAGAGGGTGGTAAGTCAAATGAATTTACGATTTCTGAACAGTGATACAAAATTCCACTGATATAACTACAATTTAAACCTTCCACAAGTGCGTCAAACGTTTATGTTAAACCCCACAAAAAATAACTGATACATGATTACAATAACGAATAGGTCGGGGTAGAACATGCAGGTGCATGTATTTCAATTATGGAATGTTTGTTAAGAAAAAATTATAAAAAATTTAAATGCCGATACAGTATATGTACACATTACACCGAAATCATTTTTTAATGTAAACTTAGTGTATCAGGTATACATCAAATGAATGAAAACATAATTAAAAATTATTTTTGACCTGAATCTAATCAGTTAAAAAGATGTGAATTTAATATTGGATATTATATTAAGAAAATAAAATTTTAATGCATACATCTTATATGCATAAGTAATACAAAAATCAGTTTTTTGATTAAACTAAACCATTTATGAACATATTAAATGAATAAAAACATAATTTTAAAACTATTTTTTGTCCTGAATCTAATGAAATCAATTTAAAAGATGTGATTTTAATATTGAATTTTATATTAAGAAAATAATATTTTAATGTGTATATCCTATATATAAATGTTTTACATAAATGATTTTTATTTAAACTAAGTCATTGATGAACATATTAAATGAATGAAAACATAAATTTTTTTACTATTTTTTGTCCTGAATCTAATGGTATTAGTTTAAAAGATGTAAATATAATATTGAATTTTATATTAAAAAAATTAAATTATCTATTTATGATATACGCATTTGTTATACAAAAATCATTTTTGATTAAACTACGTCATTTATGAACATATTGAATGAATGAAAACATAATTTTAAATCTATTTTTTGTCCTGAATCTAATGGTATTAGTTTAAAAGATGTGAATTGAATATTGAATTTTATATTAAGAAAATAAAATTTTAAGCTATATAATATGAAATACACATTTGACATACAAAATTAATTTTTTAGATTAAACCATGTCATTTATGAACATATTGAATGAATGAAAATATAATTTTAAAACAATATTTTTTCCTGATTCTAATTGTATTAGTTTAAATGAAGGGAATTCAATATTGATTTTAATATTATATAATGAGCTTTTGAATATTTATGTGTTTGCAATATGAATTTGTTATATTAAAATGATTTATATTTTTAACTGATTTTTAAGATGTTATGTTTGTTAAGTTGGAGCACAATTATAAAATTACTTTTATTCTGAATCTATTATTTATGGTTTTAATATTGTGAATCTAAATATGGTTGTTTTATTACTATTTGAGAATATGAATTTTTTTTATCACTATTGATTTTTATATAGGTTATTAATTTTGTACTAAATTAAGAATAATTATTTAAATTAGAGTTGAATTTTATGTAATTGGTTATGTTGTAAAAATTTAATTCTTAGTTTCATTTTTTTCTTATTGATGGTACACACTATCATTGATTACTTCAATAATAGTTTGGTTTATCGTTTTAAACTAATGGTGTTCACGCTCTACTTTCAATAGTTTTTAGATACATTTCAGAGACAATTTAAATTTAAACATCAGTGTGTGTACCTGTTAAATTGGAATTACTTTGTAGGCTTAACTCCTGATCTATCAACCAAATTCAACATTAAATATATAAATAATAATTCCTATTTGCTTTTGCATTTTGCAACATTTACAGCATATTCAAAATATTAATTGTCTTCGTTTTATCACATATTTTGTGAATATGAATCTTTATATGATTTATAGGAAATGTATATACTGATGAATTTTATACGATATGGAATGATATTATATAATTAAACGGGTTGGAATTCTGTGAAAACCCATCTATAATAACAAAATCATAAGCTAATTTAAGCAATACAGGAATATGTTTGGTACATACGAATTGATAGATTACTAGGCCGTAGTAGATTTACACTCAAAACAAATCAATTTACCGTTTTCAAATGGTGGTAGGTATACTGATAATCTAAGTTGCGCATGGTTATAGTATTGAAACTAATAAATGGAAATATTGAAAACGAGTCTTAACAACAGTTACACACACCGACATGTACAAAATCACTGCTTACAATTATCTTATAATTAACGGCTTCTCGAACTCCCATGCGATGATAACAACTTGTCTGCTGTTAACGTTTGACAATTCCCAATTGTGATTTTGACAACTCGCACGCAAACCTTCTGAGGTCCCACACAGCATTAATATGCCTGGCGTAGAACGTTACGTGTCATTGCTGGATCATTTCTGAAATAACACGCAGGCAATAGTTGTTCTTTCGACGATTAATTTTTCCCAATGCTGCTGATATTCTCATAAGATAGTAGATACTTAGTACTTACTCTGGTAGAAAATATGTTCTTTTAATTTTCGTAACCGTAAGTACTTTATCATTTACTCGATGCTCGATGTGATACTGAGTATTTACCAACAGTTACGAAACTTTTATCTTTGTGGTAATAATAATGATAAAATACTATTTTATGAGTCATAAGACCATAATGTAAATTACAAGAGTATATAAAATCGAGTAAATTTAATTGAAAAAGAATAAATGAAAATTATACGACGACGAAATAACTTACTAACTGTTTCGTCACATTTTAAGCATAATTCATCAACATAATTTCCAGACACAAGAAACCCTACGGCTCTTTAACACGGTTACCGAGGATAATATGATAATAATAATATTATATAATTTTTATTAACAAATATCCACATATGACATAACCCACAACACCTAAAAACGATTACCGGACGTATGCTAACATTGCTAACAATAATGGTATAAATGTATAAAAAGAATACCAGCCAGGGCGATTTTTTATAAATTATTATTTAATATTTATGATACAAAGGAAATATGTTACCAATAATACACACTTGTGTGATACGTCCCTCGTGCCTTTTAAAGACGAAATGGCAGATCCATTTTTTCACTCTCTGTTGGTGTTAAAACTGCGTATGAAATGAAACGTCACTGTTGAGTTGTTTATTCGTTGACCGAACGAAGTCTGCGGCCGATGGACACGAATATCTGTTTCGTCATCGAGTTCCTAAAAAATGGCAATCGGCCTCGACAGCTCATGATGTATTAGGATGAGTGAGAGTAACCAAAAATTAAAACCGTGACATCTCATATAAAATGCATATAACTGTACATACTACATATAGTATTGGCGGAGACGTCTCTCAGTAGACGGTGATTACAAAATTCAGTTAATCTGCGATATAACGACACTCGGTATAATTACTACTACTTCTTATTTTTATTTAACGAACGAAACTATCATCCCTTTGAGAATATCGTTGCATCGTTCCAAATACCAATGTAACAAATTCTTTGTATAACGAACGTTTTCCCCTGTCTTTTGAAAATCTTTTTGGTTGTAACACTTAATAAATAATAAAAGCTGCGTTAAAAAATGATTTTGATAATGCCTATAGGACGGCTGATACATTAAAACCAGGTACGGTTTTAGTTTTACACGGGCTAGCTATCAAAGATAAATCTAAATTGCATCGATTAATGCGGTTAGAACGCGTTACTGTTTTAGTAATCTTTATCGTCACCACTGTAGCACTAATAATAAGGAAGGCTAATTTTTTACCCATTTGAACTACTCATATAGCCAGTTGATGGTAAAGGCACTAGGTTTAGCTGTATAAAATTATGATACCATAATCGTATTCAAAAATTGAAATCTGGATTTCAAACGTGACTGTAATTATATCTAGGTACACAAAATCTTTTTACATAAATAATAATTAAAACAAAAAACTGCGACTCTTTGACAAATCTGTTGTATAGCAAAATTGTATTTGTGACGTGGTCCGGTACTAGACACTAGACAGTAGACAACTGCGGTCCGTGATTTGTGTTCCAGTCCCGCCAGGGCCTTTACAGCATTGGTGGGAGAACTGACAATATGGCATCTTTAACCGTGGTTGTGGTGGTGATAGTGTAGAACGGTCGCTGCGGTTCCTGTACTTTGTACTGGCAACCGTTACATACCATGTCAAAATATTCTACTTGACTTGGGGAGTAATTATATAAAGATTCATACTGATCACATACAATTTGTAGGTTTTATTAGCATTTCAAAATTGATAATTTACATTCGAGTAAAAATGTTCATATAATATGAGAGATTATAATATTAAAATAATTCAAATAAGACTTCAAGGCATATGGAAGGTGACTTCTAAGACCAAAATGAACATGGTGAATCTATTGAAAATGCTTCTGAATAGATCTAAAAAAAACAAAGAATTAGTTAATATTTTATAAGAAACAAT